TTTTCTTTCTGCTTTGTTTTGTTTTTAACTGTATACAAGTTTTCTGTGTCATCAAATAGATGCTAAAGAGAGAAACCAGTTAGTTCACTTAGTTGTTGTCTTTTATGTATGAATTTGGGAATTAATATCTCATGCTGTGTCCCATGAGCATGAATTATACCAATGACTCTGACCAGTCATTACTCAACTTGGGTGTGGTGGGGAGGTATAATCTCTTTTTATCTCCATGCTACAAATAGCATTTAGAATCAATCATCCATAGAAATCATTAACCCTCAAAGTTAGAAGGGAATTCATAGTTAGATAACCTGGTCCAATAATACCTGTGGTCTATATAAAAATCTTGAGGGCCATAAAGACAGATTCATACTTTAAATATGGGAGCATTGACTAATGCAATTCTCAGGCTAAAAATCTGAATGTTAAGATTTCAAACAGAATATCTAAAAGAGATAACATTAGAAGGCCCTGGATAGAGTGGGAGACAATGTGGAACACAACTCAGTTACTCTTCAGACCTGAAGTGGAACTCACTCTCCTAGCTCAATTTTCAACCAAACAATGGATAGGTATATAGGGGAAACAACACCACTAGTGAAGTATACTCATCATTGAATGGTCAGCCATTCAAGATCAAAAGGACAGCTTTTTCCAAGTGAGGAATCACCATAATGTGGGGGTAACTAACCATGGATAAGATGTGGCCTCTGGAATCTTCCAATCAGTTACTGTCAAGAGGAATGATAATAGCTGATAAGGCCTTAAAGTGCCTCAACAATTAACCTTGGAGACACCGGACTGAAATAGCTGGAAATCGAAATGGTGCATCTGAGTAATAGTTGCCTGGACTAAATTTCATTTGGGATCAGGTACTCATTTCAATCTGTGAATGACTGGCTTGCGGGTAGATTGTGTGAAGCTTTAAAAGGCAGGAAGAGTTCATTTTTGTTGCAGTGGATGGAACAAGTTTTGAGCCAAAGAGCTGCTGCTGGCATACCCTTGAGTTCAGTTCCAATTCATAGTGACCCTACCAGGGTCCTTTTGGAGAAATTCAGGATCTATAATGACAATGGTAGTGATAGCACTTCCTTTTGAAAGCTGGAGTTGAATGGATGCTAATGGAATGGAAGATTCAACAACCTCTTTGAATAATCTGAATAAATGTTTATTCAAAAAAAAAAAAAAAAATCAGAAGGGCAGACCAGGGGTTGGGAAAGAGAGTGGAGGGAAAATGGGAACCACTGAAAGGAAGTGGGATAACTTGTTATCCGGAAGGAATTGGAATCATTGAGGTGAAACAAAGAGTGTGATTTGTGGAATGTATACCTTAACTCAATTCACAATAAAAAGCCCCCCCCCACAATAAAAAGTATTTCAAGCACAATAAAGTTCCTAACACTAGAAAACACAGAGGGTGTTTATTGTTTGTTTGTTTTTAAGTCTTAAATCCAGAAATAAACAATTAAAATGTTACCAACATATGTAATGTTTTACTTACTGTTCCTCGCTCAATGTAAAACTTAAGTGCTTTAATCCAGTTGTTTGTTTCAGGCAAATGCATTTAATACATGTGTTTGTCTGCCTGGTATGATAGAAAAGATAGAGCATTTGCTCAGAAGATCATTTGCATATGCTTCAAGTTTACTCCGGAAAGTAAACTCCCATCAAATAATTTAAAAATCAGTCAGAGGGCTTTAAAAGTTGAAACCAAATTCCTGATCAATGTGGCTGCATAATGTGGTAGGCTGATACATTACGTTCTACGCAACATGTGACATGTATGTGGTTAAGCTTTATTTTTGACTCAGAGAGCATGTGAACTCTAATGGAAGATAATGATCTTTTTTTCTTTTTGTGAACTTAGTTTTTAGTAAAGATTAAAACACTCTGTGATTTGTGTTTAGTCAAACTTTATATGACTTTCTTTGAATTGTGAGGAATAGGAACTCCAGCAGCATGGGAAGAAAATCAGGATTCAACTTATTTAAGAGACTGCACAAATCAGAAACAGATCTAAGAATGGAATCCCAGTTTCAACACTCTCTTGTGGTTTCCAGTCACTTGTCAAAACTGAGAAGCCTCAGACCTTCCTTTCACTCGCAGTGTTTGGATATGGATCTGATTAAACACCCCCTTGTGGTGCTGTGGGCTAAAGCGCTGGACCACAAAGTCAGTTTGAACTGCAGTGTCGAAGGGTGATTCAAGCTCACTAGCCGCTCCTTGGAAATTCTATACAGGATTGCTATGGGTTGCAACCAACTCAATGGCACATAACAGCAACAACAATATCCTGGTGTAAAAGGATCTCTGGTAGCGTAGTGGTTACTAATTGGGCTGCGAACCTCAAGGTCAGCAGTTCGAAACTACCAGGTGCTCTGCAGGAGAAAGATGAGGTTTTCTGAGCCCATAAAGATTTGCAACTTCGGAAATCCTATGCAGGGTCACTATGAGTCGGAACAAATCCATGGTACACCACCACCACCACTCAACGATGAGTCATGGTGTAAGGAGCTCCGGTACGAGTGGTTCTGAGTCTGTGAGTCGGGCTCCAGGGTTGCTATGAGTTGGAACAGACTTCATCACTCACAACCACCAGCACCGGTCATGGTGTGCTGGTATAGCATAAGCTCTCGTCTACTAACTGGTCATTGGTTCAAATCTACCTGTTGTTCCTCAGAAATGCTACACAGGATCACTATGAGTTAGAACCAACTGGCTGGCAGCAATTAACAACAAAAGCAAAGAGCTGTATGGATGCCTCTTCTTTCCCATTACTGACCTATTAGTGTGTGGCCCTCAGCAGCTATATTGAAACATGTAAGATATTAGTGGAAATGATCTTTTCTAGAAATTGAATTCTCACTTGCAGTCAAGACAGATTATCTGCCATCAGACAATTATAACTTATTTGGGGGTGTCTTTACCTACAGACAGGCACATGTTTATTTGTCGAAAGGAGCCTTTATGATCAATCACACAAGTGTCAGCTAGATTGACACCTAAATACTTTTCAGAAAGTGCTGTATATAGCTATGCAAGATATTCACTGTATAAGAGGGCATGACCAAGGGTTGAGTGGAGCCAGAGTGCTTACAGAATTGGGTTCCCTTCCTGGGACTTCCTAATTCGAACTAAGGCATAGTAATAAGCTGGTAGAAGAAGTCCTGGTACTTCTGTAGTGTATGTACAATATTTTCTTAATGAGTTGTATCACTTCTTCCTTTTGACTTGATGTTTTCCTCGGTGGTGCAAATGGTTAAGTGCTGGACTACTAACTGAAAGGTTAGCAGTTGGAGTGCATCCAAATATGCCTTGGAAGAAAGACCTGGTGATCTGCTTCTGAAAGCTCATAGCTGGGAAAACCCTGTGGAGTACAGTTGTACTCTGAATAATATGGGGTCACCATGGAATCAGAATAGACTTGTTGGCAACTGGCTTGTTTTTAAATGGGTCGGTAGTAAGAAATAGAAAAATGTCACACATGACCACAACTCATGGTTGACGTAAAAGCTCATTCTTGATTACCCAGGTAGAGATGCCATTCACAATCTCCTTCGTGGTCTACATTGTTATATAACTTCAGAATTGGTATACATGGTCAGCTCTGACATGGAGAAGAAGGTGGTTTGAAGGAAGTAGAGTAGATCCTGAAAACTGCCCTGAGTCTAGTTGTACCTTAGCACTGGAACCACAACTAAACTATTTGTCCTTGCCATTTTTTGGGGTCAGTAATGAATGCACATCAGCAGTTGCCTGATTCTAGTTTGTTGTTGTTAAATGATGTGGAGTCAGTTCCTACTCATAACGCTGTATAGGGTTTCCAAGGCTATAAACTTTGAAGGAGCAGAAAGCCTCATCTTTCTCCGGCAGAGTGACTGGTGGTTTTGAACTGCTCACCTTGTGGCTCACAGTCCACTGTTTATCCTACAGAGTCAACACATTCCCTAATTATTTTATTGTTGTTGTTGTTAAGTGCCATCTAGCAGTTATTATACAGTTCATAAATTCTTGGTATAGTTGGGTAATTGTGTTTTGGCAGTGATCATGAGGAAAGTTTATGTGGTATCTTATTTTAAAAACTTCCACCTGATGTTCCATAAGTACTGTGTACCAACTGGGAGGAGCCAACATGCTGCTCTGTGGTAGTTATAAGGTTGTTGTTGTTGTTGTGAAATGCCGTCAAGCCAGTTCCAACCCATAGTGACCCTGTATAGGGTTTCCGAGGAGCAGTTGGTGAGCTTGAACTGCCAACTTTGTAGTTCAAATGGCTTTGCAATCTGGCACATTAACCCACAGTGCCACACAAGGGTGCAAAAAAGCAAAATGGTAAAATATGGAAATTATTAATAGGCAAGAGACAGTATAAATTTTGTTGTTAAGACCATGGACTTACAGTCAGCAAGAACTGGATCCTGAGTTTGCTCCACCATGTGTAAGATGTATGCCTTTGGCAAGTTGTCAAATTTTTCAGTCTATTTTCTCCTTTGTATAGTGAGAATAATAATCACCACTGATAATATGGGACCTTGTGAGATTAAATAATACAATATTTTACATGTCAGATGACTGCTGTATCTTCATTAAGAGGCTGGTGTTAATACGGGGAGAAGATGTCCTCATATTGCCTTGTTTCATTTAATAAGGACCTTTGTTTTTTCTGAGATAGCAAGATATTTTCTAGAAAGAAACATAGAAAGTCATTAGACTATTGGTTTGTTTTTGTTTTGTTTCTCTTTTCTGTCCTTCTGTTTAACTTCCTTCCAGTGTTTCTCAGTTAGAGAATTGCTATCATTTGTATCCTTTACTTTCTTTTTAGTATTTTTAAGCATTTTTTAAGTTCTTTTTCATGGAGGTTGTCTTTGCAATGAAAGAATTCGAGATCAGTTTTTCTTGCACTTATCCACTTAGTTAATTCTTACATATAGGATCTCCCTCCCTTTTAAAGTACACACTCACATGTTCTCTTACTCAACTCTATCCTTTATGTTGATCCTTGCCAGTAAGAAGAGGGGACGTCCTGGCCGCATGGAGTGGTATTCGTCCCCTTGTTACAGACCCCAAATCTGCAGATACTCAGTCAATCTCCCGGAATCACGTTGTTGATGTCAGTGGCAGTGGCCTTATAACTATAGCAGGTATGGGACAATCAACTATTATTTGAATGTGCTTTCATATGAGCTTGGATTCAGTTGTCACACCACATCTATTTTAACTGTAATGAATAAAGGTCTTTTATTTTCAGTGATCCTAAGTCTTATACAGTAATTTGCCTTGATTATTTTAAAGCTAGATGTGTTTGCTATTAATTAGTTCATATATAGTTATTAGAAGAAAAAATAAGGGGAAAGATGACCTTGTGAATTAGATATTAAATCATTTTTAGGTGGAAAGTGGACAACGTACCGATCCATGGCAGAAGATACTATAGATGCTGCTATCAAGGTGCACAATTTGAAAGCAGGTCCCAGCAGAACAGTTGGGCTTTTCCTTCAGGGGGGCAAAGATTGGAGCCCTACACTCTACATTAGGCTTGTCCAGGATTATGGACTTGAAAGTGAGGTGGGTTTACATGGCCATGCTATCTTCTTCTTTACCTAATCTTAGTATTGCTGATTTCAGGAGCAGCAACGGTGTGACTTTCCTGATCCGAGTTTCTTTTTCTGGATATGTTCCTATCTGTATAGTGTAGAATTGAACTAAGAGAAAGAGAGAGAGATGATTGTATCTAAAAAAGCAATGCTCATCTTAGTGTTTATTGGAAAACCTATTAGTATAATTGATTCGTTTCCAGCAAACAACCAGCCCAAATTCTTCCTGTGTCAAGCACAAGGAAGGCCTTTCGTCAGAAGTGATATCATGAGCAGAAGAAAGCTGACGCTTCATCAGTTCTGTATACAATGTGCAGTAGAGGTAATTCTAGCCTAAGCATTGCAAGTGGTTTCCTCCTACAAGATCCAAATGGAATGCTCTCCTAGAACTGCTAGTTACAGGTTGTGAGAAAACGGATGAGATAAGCATGTACCTTTTTTGTTGTTTTGCTTTCTACTTTTGATATTAAAAGTACCTGCCTAATGTAATTTTATTTCTCTAGGTGGCACAACACCTTGCCACCACATATGGAGACAAGGCTTTTGAGGTGGCCAAAATGGCAAGTGTAACTGGAAAAAGGTGGCCCATTGTTGGAGTGCGTCTTGTGTCAGAGTTTCCATATATTGAGGCTGAGGTATGTGAGTAGCCATGTGTCAGCTTCCTGTCCACCAAGGGAAAATATTCATCCATTTATTTTTCATCGTCTTTAAAAAGTATACCTAGCTAAGATTTGATGGCGCTAAAGCATGGAGTGTCTGTCTCAAACAGGTATTTTCATCTACAGAATTTTAATTTTGAAGTGCATTTGAGAGTGGCACTAATAATTATAGAAAATATGGATTTCTTTCTCCTTCATGAATTTTCTCATGTCTTGCCAATTCACAGTTGTTTGTTCCTTGTTTGAACTTGTAGGTCTTCTCATTTGTGCCAACTCATGGCCTGCCTGATGACATGCTTTGATTTAACACCTAACTTTTCAACAAGGTTTCAGTAGTATGCCAACAGGGAGAATGTTTTATATGGGTTGCATAAATAGTTAAGCATTCAACAGCTAACCTAAGGATTGTCAATTCAAACCCATCAACTGTTCTGCAGACGAAAGGCCTGGTGATTTGCTCTCAAGAAAACTGTGGAGCACACGGGGTTACCACAAGTTGGAATGGTGATCAGGCAGTGAACTATTACTTCCTGTTCTTCTTCCTCTTGTGTGTTGTCCAGTCAGTTCCAACTCACAGCTACTTTGTGGCTGGTGAGTTTGAACTTTACACCTTGAGATTAGCAGGCCAGTGCTTATCCTACAGTATAAGGGCTGTTTCTATCTTTTGGCTCTCGTAAACTTTGGTGTGCATGTGTCTGTTTAAGTGTCGCTGCTTTCAGGTCTGTTGGACATACACACTTAGGTTGTCCAGCATACTTTTTGTTACTGATCTTAACTTTCTTGCCAATTTCTCTGTATGTGTATATTTTTTAATATTGGCAGGCCTAATGAAAGGTTTTACTTTGGTTTGGTGCTTTAAAAAAATTGGTGTTCCGTAAGCCTTTAGAGTACTGGTGTGGCTTATAGGATAAGCACTGGACTGCTAACTGCATGGTCAGCAGTTCAAACCCACCAGCCGTTCCTCAGAAACCCTATGCAGGGTCACTATGAGTTGGAACTAACTCAGAGGCATGTAACAATAACAACAAAAAGCCTTTGTTTGATGTTTGAATTCAGTTCTTCTGTCATCTTGTTATTCTAAGACAGAAAACTCTGTACAGCCTAAGAGACAAGACCATAACAGTTTTATGTTTGTCCTTTGTGTATTCGGTACTGTAAATCAGCATCTAGATTATGTATTAGGATCCCTGAGTGGTGCAGATGGTTAAGCGCTTGACTGCTATATGAAAGGCACCTTGGAAGAAAAGCCTGGTGATCTGCTTCCAAAATGTCAGCCATTGAAAATTCTATGGAGCACAGTTCCTCTGACACACATGAGTCACCATGACTCATTGATTCAGTAGTTTTTGTTAAGTGTCGCTGAGTCATTTCTGACCCATACTGACTCTGTATATGGTTTCCAAGGAGCAGCCGGTGAGCTTGAACCACCGACCTTGTGGTTCAAGTGACTTTTCAGTCCAGCGCATCAGCCTGCAGCACCACACCTGGTACCTGGTTATTATATATAAACAAAGAGTAAGGAGTTACTTGGATGGCAGTGAGAAGTGATGCAGTTTGCATGTTTCTGTGAGGTTTTAATTCAGGAAGAAGGCATTGACTGTTCTCCAATTGATCCTGTTTCCCAAGCAGCCTTTGGCAGATGGTTGGAGAACTGTGTGTTGCCACTTTTGATCTCATGCCTTCAAGATAACCAGAGACTATATAGAAAAAAGTACTGCCTTTCTTTCCTAATCATGAATGATATATATAGATATATAAACTTAATATCCTGTGTTAAGAAAAGTAGTGAGCTAAGATTTCTCTGTAATTCCAATGCAGGTGAAATACGGAATTAAGGAGTATGCCTGCACTGCTGTGGATATGATTTCACGTCGCACTCGACTGGCCTTCCTGAATGTCCAAGCAGCAGAGGAAGCACTGCCCAGGATTGTTGAACTGATGGCCAGAGAACTGAATTGGGATGATTATAAGAAAGAGGTATTCTAAAGAAGGTTTCAAAACCACAGTTCTTAATATAAGCTTGTTTGTTGATCAATAAATAGAGCCTGATAAACTTTTTAATATACTTAAAAAAAAAAAAAGGTAATTCATTAAAATGAAATGCACATAACAAAAAAACTAACCAAAGTGAACAATTCAGTACATTTAGTACATTTATTACCATCTTACTTCTTACTTACTCTTGTTTTATTATTTAAATGGTTAACTTATTTTACATCAACTAGTGAATCATCAGATGATAGTTGCACAAAATGATGTTGCATGCCAAGGAAAATTTTAGGAACATTTTTGAGCAACTTCCTGATTATTCTAGACATTCTTCTCAGCATTGCCTCATCAGCACAATATGCAATTAAGTTTGTTTTTTACTACTCTTTATTAAAGCTACAATAATTTAAAGTGAACAATAATGTATTGAAAACACATCCACTGGTGCTGTCGCCAGCTCTTTTGTTAATTCATTTTATTGTGGTAAATGAATGTAAGAAAAAGTTTGCCATTTAGCCATTTTTAAATGGACAAATTCAATGACATTCATGATCCTCATATTGTGGTACTGCCACCACTACTATCCATTTTCTAATGTTTTTCCTCACTTTACACAGTAGTGGTTATGAGTCGGGCTGCTAACCTCAAGATCAGCAATTTGAAACTACCAACTGTTCCATGGGAGAAAGAGGAGGCTTTCTGCTCCCATAAAGATTTACAGCCTCAGAAACCGTATACAGGGTCCCTGTGAGTCAGGACTGACTCCACAGCCCAGAACTACCACCACTACCACAGCAATACAATCACTCTTTATCCTCTCCTTCGATCAGCCTTGGCAATGAAAGTTTGTCTCCATGCATTTCCTATTCTACATATTTTATATAACTGGGATCATATCGTATTTATCCTTTGTGTCTGATTTAGCATCTTTTTAAGGGTAATTCAGGTAGGATTCCTCAGAAATTCATTTGTCTTTATGACTGAATATCACTCCATTGCATGTATATACTACATTTTGTTTATTCATTCACCTGTTGATGGACACTTGGATTGTTTCTCTCTTAGAGACACATGCTCCCATAAAGATTTACAGCCTTGGAAACCCTATACGGGGTTGCTATGAGTTGGAACTGACTCCGTGGCACATAACAACAAAAATAATGTAATCTCTCTCTCTCTCTCACTCACTACCAACGAGTTGATTCTGGCTCATAGAACCCTGTATAGGATTTCAGAGCTTGTAAATCTTTATGGGAGCAGAAAGTCTTATCTTTCTACAAGGGAATGGCTGGTGGGCTCGAACCACTAACCTTGTGGTTACTAGTACGTGCTTATCCTACAGAGCCAATATGTTGTTGTTGTTGTTTTTAAGTGCCATCGATTCAGTCTGATTCATAGCAACCCTGTATTGGATCTCCTAGTCTGTGAATCTTTGCTGGACTGGTGGTGGGTTTGAACAGCTGATCACTAAACAGTCCATTTCTTATCATACAGAGCCACTGTGCTCCTCTATATGATACAGGCCTGGGCTATTTATCATAATAAATAGTGGATCTCTGGGTTTTTAATTAAGCCAAACTAAGACATTTTTAAAGTGTTGAAGAGCAAAGGTGTCAGCTTGAGGACTAAGGTGTGCCTGACCCAAGCCCTGGTATTTTCAATAATCTCATATGGATGCGAAAGCTGGACAGTGAATAAGGAAGACCGTAGAAGAACTGATGCTTTTGAGTTATGGTGTTGGAGGAGAATATTGAAAGTGCCATGGGCTGCCAAAAGAACCAACAGATCTGTGTTAGAAGAAGTGCAGCCAGAGTGCTCCTTGGAGGCGCCAGGATAGTCAGACTTCATCTCTCATACTTCAGACATATTGTCAGGAGGGACCAGTCACTGGAGAAGGATATCATGTTTGGTAAGGTGGAAGGTCAGAGAAAAAGAGGAAGAACCCCAGCGAGATGGATTAGCCAAGTGGCAACATCAAGGGACTCAAGCATGGCAACAATAGTGAGGTTGTCCCAGGATTGGGCAGTGTTTCGTTCTGCTATGCATATGGTCACTATGCATCAGTACCGACTCGATGGCACCTGACAACAACACAACAACATAGTTACATGGGGAGGTTTATGAAGCATTTCATATATTCTTTCAAAATGTCTGTCTATATTCATTGGGTTCAATTCATTTCTCCTTCATCTTTTTGAAACCATTCTAATTAGACTTTCTCACCACCAATTTGCTGTAGTAGCTCCTGTCAGGCTCACCAAACCCTCTGTGTTGATTAATACACTTATCAACTCTCAATCTTCATTTTACTCAACCAGTTAGCAACATTAGACAGTTGGTTCCTTCTTCCTTTTTGAGATTCTTCCTGCAAGACCATTAACTTCTCACTTTTTTCTACCCTTTGTTTGCTCGCCTAAACCTTAATAACAAATTTGATGCATACTTTATATCTAAATTCACCATCAAACTGTATCCTGTTTATTTTCAAATAATTGTTTGAATCAACCCTTTCGTAGCACTTTCGGTTGCTCCCAAGGCTACTATCATTTCTTCCATGAAATACGTAATTGATTCCCTCCACATACCCAGTATCTCTGCTTTGACAACTTCAGTGATTCTATTAAAACCTAAGTCAGATCATTGGACATGTCAGTCTCAAATTTATAAGTGAAGTCTGGATTGAAGTTAAAAATTTGAGAGTTGGTATTTAAGTCATCAGACAGAATGAGATTAAGGGATTAATGCAGTTAGATAATGAAAGTGGTCCAAAGGCTCAGCCCTGCAAAAAACTGAGTTACTGCAAAGTCTAGAGGTTGGGGAGATAATGTAGAATCAAGGAGAATAAGAAGTAACAGCTAGTGAGGTTGGAGGAGATAAGAGAAGTCTGAAGACGGAGCAGTGTCTCAGAAGGTAAGGAAGGAAGTATTTCAAGAAGGAAGTGTTCTATCATACCACATGCTGCTGATAGGTTAATAAAATGAGGACGGGTAACTCACAAGCTCTCTTATTTTTTCTCCAAAATAACCCTCCTTTATACTCAAAATAAAACCAATGTCATCTTGGTGGTTCTAAGGCCTTCCATCCTTTGACCCCTCACCATCCCTCTCACTTTACCTACTCTTCTTCTTTCATTCCTTTTCATTTCACAGGTCAAGTTGTTTTTCCATGTTTAAAACCTACTGATCCTCTGCCTGGAATGCTTTTCCCTTGAGAATACTCCTGGTTTTTCTCTCACATCCTACTATTCTCTGTTCCAGGGAGACTTTCCTTAACTAGCATTATAAAAGAGTAACCCCCCCCCCCATCTGAATAACATTTTCTTCCTTTTCTTACTCTCATTTTATAGTTGAGGAAACAGACTTGGAGAAATTCCTGTTGTCATTCACATGACCAGTCTATTGTGGAACTAGGGCAAAATCCAAGTATTCTTTTCCTAGAGCATACCCTTTCTCTATCCTTTCCTGTTACCGCTACTGTAGCAGCCCTGGTTTCCAGTATTGATGTGGTCTGTATAATGATATATACAGACAGAATATAAAATGTACTCCTCTGCTACTGCCAGTCACTTCCCCATGTAGCAGATTCTGCGTTCATCTAAGAATTATGGTTGGGATGATTTGAGTATGCAGGAACATATTTTTGTGCCAGGAATTTAGGCAGTGGGAGGTAGGAAGGAGGGAGAAAACTCTGTAAACCAGTTGTGTTCAGCCCTCCTGGGGGAACTAGATTTAACTTCATTTTAATTTTTATAAACAGATTTATGTGCTAGGATTATTCTCCCATCCCCCACCACAAAGTAAAAGAAGTAAAAGACCTACAGTTAGTATTCAGTATCTGAGACATACAAGTATTAATGAGAACTGTGGGTAGTCTAGAGAGAACAAAGGAGAAGGAGAGAAAAAAAAATGAAAAGGTTAGAAAGTTGGACTTCTGAGAAAAGGTTAAAAGCATTGGGATTATTTAACCTGCAAAAGTGAAAGAGGAACGAGGTGATAAATAACTCTCTGGAGATGCATTGTGGTTGTTTTTAGCAGTCCATACTTAATGAGTGACTTGTATATTGAGCATCATGCTAGATATTTTTAGAGAATAATAAATAGCTCATAGTTTCTAGAATCTTGAACTCTGATGGGTTTATAATACCTATATGCCTCAAAGAAATGTGTATATTTCTAAAATTTGGAGAAAGGTTTGTTGTTGTTAAGTGCTGTCATGTCGGTTCTGACCCATAGCGACCCTTATAGAGTTTCTGAGAAGCGGCTGGTGAGCTTGAACCGCTGACCTTGTAGTTCAAACCAACTTTGCATTCGAGCTCATTATCCCACAGTGCCACACCAGAGAAATGTTTAGAATAGTTTAAGACAGAAATCCAGCCAACACCATATATATGGTAGTAGTGGTGGTGGTGTGCCGTGGAGTCGGTTCCGACTCACAGCAACCCTATATACGGCTTCCGAGGTAAATCTTTATGGGAGCAGAATGCCTCATCTTTCTCCTGCAGCATAGCTGGTAGTTTTGAACTGCTGAGCTTGAAATTAGCAGCCCGATTTGTAACCACTACGCTACCAGAGCACCTAACAACAACGCATCATCCTCGTGAGAAATATTGCACAGAAGCATTTTAAAGTCCCCACATTATTATGCTCTAAAGGAAAAAAAAAAAAATCATCTGTTTAACTTAGAATTTCCCAAACACTTCTGACCATTGAGTTAACTTTTTACTTATTCTAATTAGTAGCTGATGGAATTTTGGCTGTGTCATTTTCTCTAAATGTTCCCCAACTCTTCCAGACATTACCTGTCTCCCAGTCAGTTCTTTAGAGTCCTGGTGTGGCGCTGTGGGTTAATGCGCCAGACAGCAAAGCTGTTCGACGGTTCAAGCTCACCAGCTGCTCCTTGTTAACACTATACAGGGTTGCTATGGGTCGGAATGGACTCGACAACACTTAACAACAACATATATATTAGTGGGATTGTTGGATCGTACA